GAGCTCTGCTCGGTTGGTCTAGATGTAGTGGCAAAGAAAAAGAGAAGAGTTCTACTTATGGTTACTGGGTGGATTGTGGTGACAGGAATTCAGGAATCAGGATTAAGTAATGGCTTCTCTGGAAACGGTGAGTCTTGAACTGGTGAGGGAAGAGAGCCAAAGAAATAATAATCTTAGAAAGGAAGACCGGAAAAGCACAATATAGAACTTAGTTGTCTTGACATCGGACCGAATTTCCTGAGACCCAGTGAGAAGGTATCTTAACGTTGGGGGCAAGATCAAAGAGGGTGCGGTTGTCCCAACATGGTGGGGGAGGAAAGCTATAATTGTTAGCTTTTAAGTTTTGATGTTCTTTGTAAAGTAAGTCATGAGGTCATCATTTGTAAGGAAAGATGATAGAATGGGGAATAGAGTTTGGGAAAGGAACTTGAAACAGCATGTGTAGTATGAACTGATGCTACTAAATACAAAATGAGCAGTACCAAAACTGGAAGGAAAGTAACCATTTACATTTATTTATTTATTTACTTATTTGCTATAGAAAGCTCTTCAGTTTATTATTGGTTACAAACTATAATGCCATGTTTTCCCTATCACTTTAGTGGGTTTTATCTATTTATTCCTTAATCAGAGGATAAGTGTTTTATAAAAGTTCTCAAAGGTACTAGCTTTCTGGTCTCATTTGGGATCATGTTAATGATTGAAACTCCTTGATAACCTGGCTGAGGTCTAAGTTAATTTGTGGTGCTAACAGTAAAGATTTCCTGAGCCAGGTAAAAACAGCCAGAAACGTAATGCAAGATGGAAGTTGAAACAGAACTAAAATTTATGAAAGTGTCTGCCATGTGAGTCTACAGTATGTAATCAACTTAAAAACAATGCTATTATGAAAGATTTGGTGTATGAAAGTAGAAATAAGCCTTGTGTGTATTTCATCCAGGCTTAACCATATCTCTTGTGCCATCTTAGGAAAGGTCAGGTTAAAAGATAGGCCTTTCACTGGATTTCAGGAGTCATTGAACCTAGCTAAAACTTATTAAAGTAAGAAGGAAAGAGAATTTCAGGGATCAAGGGCTTACCCAGAGACTGAGTAATTCCATTACATTAGACATTCTTATAGTAAGACTTCTGGCTGAAATAGTGGTGATGTAAATCGACTTGATACATACATTTTGATTGATTAATGTAGAGTCTTTACTAGATCATGATACTTGGTGTAAGTACTTGTTGCTGTCACTGTCGTTAAAGAAAATGATGGGGTATTTTGGTAGGTAAACTCAAATCATAGATTTTTTTCCCTTTATTAGAAACAAATAATCCATGCCATAAAGTGCAATCCGCTGAAATTGTCTATTGTACTTCACCTAGAATAAACCAAAAGAGCTGAGGTATGGGCCTGTGGTAGGTACCTAACTCAGTACTACAGTTCTATTTAAATCTCTTAAAACTTTCAATAGGTTCAGGATGCCACAGCCCTGTTCAGCTTTTCAAAAAGCCAATCAAATACGGATGTTCCTACTGCTTCCTTTATTGAGGCAGACAGGTAAATAAGCAGATTTTCTTTTGGAGCTCTTTAAGGGCAAAAGCTAAAAAGTGTTTTCTCTTTATTCCTGAATTAACTCAATATTCCTTTAGCAGGACTATATATAACCAGTGTGTTAAGTTCCCTATGGTATGCTTTAGTGTCGTTTTGGAGTTCCTTCTGGGTCCCAACATTTGTGTGACCTTAAACAAGATACTTACTAACCTCTCTGAGTCTCCGTTTACTCATTTCTAAATGGGGGTGGGGGGCAATAATGATACCTTTTTACGGTTGTTTGAGGATTTAATGGGATAACGACTGTAGACTGCTTTGTGAACAATGAACTTTTAATAAATGGTATATATTATAATTTTCAAAACTAAGTTACATAATGAACTAGTTCTACATATTTCAAATCTGACTGGTTTTTAATTATGCAAATAAAATATGAATGCATTATTGCATAAAATTAAAGTTTTACAGATAAGGTTTTTTTTTAATGTTTATTTTTGAGAAAGAGGGAGTGTGCGTGCGCGCGTGCTCGAGTGGGGGAGGGGCACAGAGAGAGGGAGACACAGAATCCTAAGCAGGCTCCAGGATCTGAGCAGTCAGCACAGAACCTGATGCAGGGCTCGAACTCACAAACCGTGAGATCATGACCTGAGCTAAAGTCAGATACTTAACTGACAGGGGCCCCAAGTTTTACAGAGAAGGTTAAAGAGGCCCTTAACTCTCTAGCCCCAATCCCTTCCCCAGAAGTAACTATTTTATCACTTCATGTATCCTTCCATGTCTTTTTCTTTACACACAGTTTCTACTTCATAGGTCAAGAATTAAAAAGATAGTGATTTAGTAATTTTGAAAATATTTACAATTTCTGGTTATTAGAATATGTATTTTTATAGACTCAGTAACAAAATGATAGCAAAATTCAACAATTTGTTACATAGTGTCTGATCTTGAGCCAAATTGTAGAATTCTTTATAACCCTCGAAAGGTTTAGTCAAGGGGAAGAAGCCAGAAGAAATAAACATAGCTTAAGCCATTTAGCTCAAAAATATACATTTGCTTTTCCAGCCAATAAACATAGGTCAGAACTTATGAAATTTACTGTCTTTCAGCTTATCTTAAATTCCACAACTATGAGTCAAAGATATTGTTTGTTAGTCTGACAAGTAAAAAAGTTTTCCTTTTCTCAAAAATGGGAAAATGTTGCCACTTTCTTTGGGGGCAAGGAAAGCGTTTGGGGGAGGATAATAGGAAAGTGTAATTGAAGCTATTCTTTTCATATCACTGATCCTCAAGTATACTTAAATTATTTTTGTAGTGACCTGTGGCATTTTTGTTAGCAGTATGTACACATTGGGAAGTAGATTCCATCCCACTTAGGGAAGGAGATTGATCTTGAAGTGCTGTTACTCGTTCTCCTAAAGCCACTTGTTCGGACAGAATTTTCTTTTTAAGTAAGGGAAGGTCAAGAGGAAGAGGCTATAGTTAATTTGGGAGCAGGGATCTAAGAGTTGGGAGAATATGGATTTGACATGATCTCTCTTCTGTGGAGAATGAGAGGTAAGTTGGACAGAATTATGTGGAGAGGGGTTAGTGGACGAAGGAAAATACCAGTTTAGAGTGGTGTTATTTCTAATCACTTTGGGAGAGTGATGGTGGAGAGTGGAGCAAAAGACTCAGCTCCTCTTCTTTCACTCTCATCTTAGACTGAACCTGGCAATGAAGGTCAAAGAAAAGAACTCCCAGCCCAGTATGTGTGTGACGTGGTGTAGTAAAGTTCCTTTTGCCCAGAATAGAGATGTGATAACTTTTTTTGTTTGTAGGGTGTCATGCGGGATACCAGAGTAGGGATTGAAGTTAGTTTGTAAGTTATACCTTGATAAATAGTTGTTGTTTACCTGATTATCATATGAAAATATAGAACATTTCCAGCCTATGTTGCCTTGGGAGATTCATATACATATATTAATCACTTTATTGGTAGCTCATTTTCTTTTTTTTTTTTTTTTTTTTTTTTTTTTTTTTTTAATTTTTTTTTTCAACGTTTATTTATTTTTGCGACAGAGAGAGACAGAGCATGAACGGGGGAGGGGCAGAGAGAGAGGGAGACACAGAATCAGAAACAGGCTCCAGGCTCTGAGCCATCAGCCCAGAGCCTGACACGGGGCTCGAACTCACGGACCACGAGATCGTGACCTGGCTGAAGTCGGACGCTTAACCGACTGCGCCACCCAGGCGCCCCGGTAGCTCATTTTCTAAGCTTTGCTTTTGTTGCTTTTTCCAAGAGTTAGATCCTCCTGTCCAGTGTAGTAAGCCACTAGTCACATGTGGCTGTTGAGCATATGAAATGTGACTCATCTAAATTGAGACGAGAGTATAAAATACACACTGAATTTTGAAGACTTAGTATGGGAAAAGAATGTAAATTATCCCCGTAATTTTTTCATAATGATAACATGTTGAAATGCTATTATGTATTACATATGAATAGATTTAATGATTTAAATAAAACATATTAAAATTAATATCACCTTTGGGCTGCCTGGGTGTCTCAGTCGGTTAAGCATCCAACTTCAGCTCGGGTCATGACCTCACAGTTTGTGAGTTTGAGCCCCGCTTTGGGCTCTGTGCTGACAGCTCAGTGCCTGGAGCCTGCTTCCGATTCTGTCCCCTCTCTTTCTGCCCCTGCCCTGCTCATACTCTGTCTCTGTCTCTCTCTCAAAAATAAATAAAGCATTAAAAAAACATTAAAAATTAATATCACCTTTAAAAAATACAGCTACTAGAAAAAATTGTACATGTAGCTGACATTATGTTTCTTTTGGGCTCTGCTGGTCTACAACAACCTGCATTAGGGATAAGTAATTTTTTTCTTGCTGTAAAATTTCATATGAGATGTTATGTGATTTTAGTTCCATAAAAATGCTTCAGGGGTCATTTAACTTGTATAGTCAGATATTTTTCCCCTTTGGGGGAAATTTTTTTTTTCAAGTTTTTATTTAAATTCCAGTTAGTAGTTAACATACAGTGTAGGGGTGCCTGGGTGGCTTAGTTGGTTGAGTGTCCAACTCTATCTGACTCTTGATTTTGGCTCAGGTCATGATCTCAGGGTCATGGGATTGAGACCCGCGTCAGACTCTGCACTAAACATGGAGCCTGCTTAAGATTCTCTCCCTCTGCCCCTCTCCCCACCTCCCCCATGGTGCTCTCTTTCTAAAATAAATAACACCAAACATACAGTGTAATACTGGTTTTAGGAGTAGAAGTTAGTGATTCAACACTTACATACAACAACACCCGGTAGTCATCACAAGTGCCCTTCTTAATACTCATCGTTCATTTAAACCATGCCTCTGCCTAGGAGGAGAATTTAAATTTAGTTTTATCTAAATCAGTGGGAATATAGGCTTACAGTGCCAAATTGTGTGTGTTTTGTGTTATGTGCATGCACGTATGTGTTATTTTCCAGGAATTCCTATTCTAGTGATCATGGTGCATCTTATACCCATGGGCCTTATACCCATCAGAAGGCCCGGGTCCTACCAGTCTTCCTACCTGATTAAGCCTGTCCTTGGAAGAGTGATGCTTTTCGGTCCCAGAAAAGAATCCTGGAACCAGGTATAGTCCTCAGCCCAGCTTGTAATAAGCCCTATTCCCGAGGAATATGGAACATTAATCTTAACATATTGTCAGACTTCATATTAGGCAGTCTCAAGCCAGTTTTCTATATTCATAAAATACATTTTCCCCCAAACATTTTTATTTTGAAAAAGTTCTAATACAGGAAAGTTAAAAGAGAAATACAATGAACATTTATATATCCTTCAGAGTCCCCAATTGTTTAAAAAAAAATCGCCATGTTTCTTTAGTTCTACATGTATTTTTTGGAGTGGAATTATTTGAAAGTAATTTGCATATCATGATGTTATCCCTAAATATTTCAGCACACCTCTCCTAGGAATAAGAAATGACCTTACCACTAATATATTGTCTTACTTAAAGAAAATTACAGTAATTCCACGGTATCCAATGTTAACTTTTCCCCAAATGTTCTGCATAGCCTTTTTTCTGACTTTTTTCAATTCTGGATTTAGTCCAGGTTTATGCATTGCGTTTAGTTATGACTCTTTAGTCTCTTTTCACCTAGAGTAGAGGTCAGCACCTGACAATCCATGTGCCAAGTTTTACTAGCCACCTGTTTTTGTACAGTTTACCAGACAAAAATAGCTTTTACATTTTTTTCTGTATCATTGAAAAAAAACTTACGGTAAAGTTCACCTAACATAAAAGTAACCATCAACCATTTTAAAATTTTTTTTTTTTTTCAACGTTTTTTATTTATTTTTGGGACAGAGAGAGACAGAGCATGAACGGGGGAGGGGCAGAGAGAGAGGGAGACACAGAATCGGAAACAGGCTCCAGGCTCTGAGCCATCAGCCCAGAGCCCGACGCGGGGCTCGAACTCACGGACCGCGAGATCGTGACCTGGCTGAAGTCGGCCGCTTAACCGACTGCGCCACCCAGGCGCCCAACCATCAACCATTTTAATGTGCACTATTCATTGGCATTTGGTATATTCAGTATGTTGTGTAACCATCATGTCTTTCTAGTTCCAAGACATTTTAAGCACCCAAAAAAGAAACCTTTTACCATTAAGCGGTCTCCCCATTTTCTTTCCCTGCAGCTTCTGCTAAGTACTAGTTGCCTTTCTGTCTCTGGATTAACCTATTTTGGATGTCTCATAGAGATGGAATCATAACATGTGACCTTTTATGTTTCGCTTCTTCCACTTAGCATGTTTTTAAGGTTTGTTCACATTGTAGTGTGTATCAGTATTTCATTCCTTTTTATGACTGAATAATAATCCACTTTGATAAAGGTATATCACTTTTTGTTTATCCATTCATCTGTTGATGGACTTTGGCATTGTTTCTACCTTTTGGCTATTTTGAATAGTGCTGCCATGGGCATCTGTGTATAAGTATTTGTTTAGATACCTGTTTTTAGTTCTTTGGTTTTAACATTTTTAAATGGTTGGGAAAAAAAAAAGAATAGTATATCATGACATATGAAAACTATATGAAATTCAAATTTCAGTGTCCATAAATAAGACATGCTTATTCATTTGTGTGTTGTCTATGGCTGCTTTCATGCTTCAGTGGCAGAGTTGAGTAGTTGTGATAGAGACCATATGTCCCACAAAGCTTAAAATATTTTCTCTCTGGCCCTTTATAGTAAAAGTTTGATGACTCTGAACAGTCTATCTATCTTTTTGTTTTTGTGACATTGATTATTTTTAAGTTTGTTTATTTGTTTAGAAAGAGAGCACGTGGGGGAGGGGCAGAAAGAGGGAGAGAATCCCAAGCAAGTTCCACATGTTGTCGGCACAGAGCCCGACTTGGGGATCAATCCCACAAACCATTAGATCATGATCTGAGCTGAGATCAAGAGTCAGATGCCCAACTGACTGAGCCACCCAGCCACCCTGTGTGTGTGTGTGTTTAACTAATAAGACTTTATTTTTTTTAACATTTATTTATTTATTTTGAGAGAAAGAGCAAGCAGGGGAGAGACAGAGAGAGGGAGAGAGAGAATCCCAAGCAGGCTTCATGCTGAGCCCCAGGGCTCAATCTCACAACTGCGAGGTCACAACCTGCACCCATACCAAGAGTCAGATGCTAAACCAACTGAGCCATCCAGGCGCCCCTAATAAGACTTTATTTTTGAAGCAGTTTTAGATTGCAGAAAAATTGAGCAGGAAGTAGAATTCCCACATACCCCTTCTCTGCCCCCCAGTTTCTCCTGTTAACATCTTGCATTAATGTGGTACATTTGTTACGATGAACTGACATTGACACGGTTATTATCACCCAAAGCCCATAGTTTACATTAGAGTTCGCTCTTTGTGTTTATAATTCTTTGGGTTTTGACAAATGTATATGGTTATGTATTTGCCATAAAAGTATCATACAGGATAGTTTCACTGCCCTAAAATTCTATTATGCTCCATTTATTTATCCCTTCCTTTCTCTGTTTTCCTCTCCCCCTCACACCAGCAGCTAGAGATATTTTTATTCTCTCTGTAGTTTTGCCTTTCTAGCATGTCATATAGCTGGAATCCAAATACAGTATGTAGCCTTTCCAGGCTGGCCTCTTTCACTTAGTAATATGCATTTAAGGTTGCTCCATGTTTCTGTGTCTTGAGAATTCATTTCTTTTTATTGCTGAATAATATTTCATTGTATAGCTGTACCACCACAGTTTGTTTATCCATTTACATACCGAAGGACATCTTGGTTGCTTCCAAGTTTTGGCAGTTATGAATAAAACTCCTATAAATGTTTGCAGGTTTTTTATGGACATACATTTTTTAAAAACAGGCTATTTTTTAGAGCTGTTTTAGATTCGTAGTAAAATTAAGTGGAAGGTACAGAGTTCTCATATACCTCCTGCCCTGCTATGTGCACATAGCTTCCTCCTCTATCAGAATCACACACATCAAGTGTTATATTTATTAACACTTAATGAACCTACAATGACATTAGTCCCAACGCCTATAGTTTACATTAGGGTTCACTTTGGGTGTTATACACTGTATGGATTTTGGCAGATGTATAATGATATGTATCCACCATTACAGTATTACACAGAATAGTTTTCATTCTGATTCTTGAAAATCTGTGCCCTGCCTACTTATCCCTTCCTCTCCATATCCTCTGGCAACCACTTACCCTTTTACTGTTTATAGTTTTGCCTTTTCCAAAAATGTCATATAGATGGAATCATATGGTATGTATATAGCTTTCTCAGATTGGCTTCTTTCACTTAGTAATATGCATTTTAAGTTTCTTCCGTGCCTTTTCATGACATAATAGCTCATTTCTTTTTAGTGCTGAATAGTATTCCATTATTTGGATGTATCACAGCTTGTTTATCCATTTACTTACTGAAGAACATCTTGGTTGCTTCCACATTGTGTCAATTATAAGTAAAACTGCTATAAACATTTGTGTGCAGGTTTTTGTGTGGACATGAGTTTTCACTTCCTTTTGCAGATTTTTTTTTTCTGGTTGTGGCTTATCTTTTCATTCTCTTAACCGTGTCTCATGCAGAGCAGTTATTTTATTATTATTTTTTTAATGTTTATTATTTTTGAGAGAGACAGAGAGCAAGCAGGAGAGGGACAGAGAGAGAAGGGGGGAGACACAGAATCTAAAACAGGCTCTAGGCTCTGAGCTGTCAGCACAGAGCCTGATGTGGGGCTCGAACCCACGAGCTGTGAGATCATGACCTGAGCTGAAGTTGGGCGCTTAACCAAACTGATCCACCCAGGTGCCCTGGGATTGTGGTTTTGTTGTTGTAGCTAGAAACTTGTTGCCAAATCCGATGTACCTAAGCTTTATCTTCTAGAAGTTTTATAGTTGTGTGTTTTACCTTTTAGTCTCTGATCCATTTTGAGTTTTTGTGTAATGTTGTATAAGGTCAGTATTTGTATTTGGGGGAAGGATATGTATATCTAGTTGTTCCAGGAAAAGTTTCTGAAAAGATTTTTTTTCCACATTGAAATGTTAAATTGTCTTTGGCCCTTTGTCAAAGATCGGTTGACTATGCTTGTATGAGTGACATTATCATTTAAAATGAATTTGTCTGGGGGCTCCTGGGTGTCTCAGTTGGTTAAGCATCCGACTCTTGGTTTCAGCTCAGGTCATGATCTCTGGTTTCCTCTTGGAATCTGCTTGGGATTCTCTCTCTCCCTCTTTCTCTGCCCTTCCCCCACTCGCACTGTCTCCATAAACCTGGAAAAAAAATGTAAATGAATTTGTTTCTTCATTGTATAGTTTGTTTTCCTAAAATGTATTCCTTGTAAACTGGAACTTGGGTCTAGAGGATTAGATTCACATTAAACATTTTGGCAAGAATGCTTCCTAGGTGACAGAACACTTCAAATATTATCAAGTCGGGAGGTACCCAGTATTAGAGTGTCCCACTGGTAGTGATGGTTAAGATTGATTAAGGTAGGGTGCTTGGGTGGCTCAATTGGTAGAGTATGCGACTCTTGATTTTGTGGTCATGAATTGGAACCCCACCTTGGGTGTAGAGATTGCTTTAAAAAAATCTCCTTTCTACTCCTGAAACCACTGTTACACTATATGTTAACTAACCAGACTTTAAATAAAAATTTGAAGGAAAAAAAAAGATTGGTTAAGGTGGTAACTAACTGATCTTTCCATTATAAAGGTATATTTTTCCCTTTGCAATTAGTAAGTAATTTGTGTGGTCATACTTTAACCATATAACAAATGAATATTTGAATCTATATTTGTCAGGCATGTACTAGGTTCTGAAGAGACAACAGTAAAAAGAAAGATTTCTACTCTCACAGAATTTGCCTTTTTCCCCTCTAGGTTTCAAGACAGTAGTGGGATTGGGTCTATCCTTGGAGAGGGATGCATTTGCATCTTAGGGTATGTTGATAACAGAAAATTATATCATTGCAAAAGTATATGCCAGTAAGTACAGAGTTTCAGTATGAGATGATGTAAAAGTTCTGGAGATAGTGTGATGGTTACCTAACAATATGAATGGACTTAATGCCATTGAACTACATGCTCAAAAAT